ATATATATATATACGTCCACGTTTAGAGTCGATTCATATTTGAAAGCCTCGTGTTCCGCATTTGGACAAATTCACCAACCGGTCACTAACTTTGCGAATAGTAACTTTTCGTGTATTTAGGCAGCGGTCCAGAAGCTGGAGGAGAGCAAGCGCGCTAACGATCCGGGTAAAAGCAGTCGCTTAAACGTTCCTCCTCTCTTGTCAGAAACATCCCACTCTCCCCCTTTCCACCTCTTTTCGAGCTGCACGCGGCTCCTGCGTGACCACGGCTGCCAGATAAGTTGAAACCGTGTCGATTTACGCTTACGTCGGTAAAATTCCCTCTCTCTTCGAAGTGTGTAAACGGAAAGAGGTGAAACGAAGTTGCTTAGTTCTCGAGTTTACGAATTCTAGTGTTGTGATTTCTGATTAGTGAAATTAAATTATAAATACTAGTAATACGATTATGTAAAGGGATATATATTTCGTTTTAGCTTTGAACGGAAGTTTTTAGGTTAGCTTTTAGGTTAGTTTCGTTGGAACTTATTTATAGAGCGTCTGTAGAGGAAATTCAAAATAGTTTCTTGAGAAAGGAAAAGGAAATTTATTTAAGTTGACTCTGATTTCTGATACGTAGAACAAGGTTTTCTTTGATTGACATTGATGGGCAAAATTTGATAATTGAAGGTACGAATAAAATTACTTCCATAATTTATTGTTCAGAATATAATAATAATAATAATCGCAAATAATTGCAGTGTTAAATGGTTATACAAAGAGCGAATCAACTATAATAACTACGAATAAACATTATTCGAGCATTTTGATAATTAATTATAAACAATTAATTATTAATTAACTTTATTCGAAATTTTTAAGTAAATCCTTTTTAATTCTATTTTTCTGCTACGTTAAATTGAACTAGAAGAGAATTTCTAAGATAAACCATTCACCTCTCTTTATCTTCGGTTTTGAAACAAAAAAAAGAAAAAACATTAAAAGTCCAATATTTCACAATCGTAAAATTCATTCAATCACCATCGAAAATCACCCCATAACCTCTCGATCAAAGATTTAGAAAAAGGGGGGCAAAGGTCCGATCGAAGGAAACGAAGCGGAATAAGAAGGAAGGGGGGAAAAAAAAACGTAGGGCGGCCAAGTGGGTCAAGAATTGACCGAAATAGGGTGGCTGAAAAACGGCAGCGACCGACTACTGCGTCAGTGGAAAACGATCGAGTTCGAGCAGCCTCGGCCGGAATCCGGAGCCGACGTTGCGGCTGTGCCGAGCTCTGTGACGCAATCCTACTATACACGGTGCACAATGGCCCGTATCTGGGTCGTGGTGTCACTGCTACCCCTTGCTCGGCCGCCAGAGGGGCTGCAATTCCTCCTCTTGCTCAAAATCGCTGCGATATCCGCTCCACCTATTCTTTTATCAGTCTACCCCCTCTTTTCTTTCTATTTTTTTCTTCTCTTTTTTTCTTTCTATTTGTTTTTCTTTTTCTTTTCTTTTTTTTTTTTATTTTCTCTCTGTTGTTGATTTAAAGATGGAAGGATTTAATTTGATTGGTACATACTGAAGAGTAACTAGAAGAGTTGCAGATCTTTTATAGATCTTTTTTCTGATTGCAGTAATTCTTGGTTTCTTTTAATAACTTCTTAGAGATAGAATTCTTTTGAGAGAGAATGTAATCTGGAATATAATCTAATTATAGTATAAATTTTAGAATTTATATATGCAGTATATATATGTGATGTATTTATAAATTACCTTTTTTTGAATCTTTATTGTTTGTTTAAAAGAGAATGTATTGAGTGATTGATTAATAGATTTTGTAATATGTAATTCTTAGTTTCATGTTTTTAAAGAATTTTTTTGAAAAATAATATAATTTTTGGGTTTGAATTAGTATTTGTGGATTTAGAGATTTTAATAAATATAAAATTAATTTATAAAAATATCAGATTATTGATATTTTTGTACTCGTTTTAATTTTCAGAACTGATGTAGAATAAATTCACTGTAAAAGAAAAAAGATATCGGATTTAATTCAAAGTATACGATGGCTCTTTTGAGAAATAATCTTTGAAAGAATTTAATTTTGGAATCAAATCGTAAGAAGGAATGATAAAAAAATTAATTTTGGTTGAGATTTAATAAAAATATATAATAAAAGAAGAAAAAGAATATTACGCTTTGAATCACAAAGAATAATAAAGTAAAAGAATTAAACAGATTTTTAGATCAAAAGAAATAGCACAAAAGATCATGGTTTTCAGTTAAGCTTTGAATTACCTCCTTAATTTTCTTTAAATTTCAAATTGATTATTCGCGCAACACAAAGATAATTGATCCAATATCTCGAATTGAATCTCGAGATTCTAGAGATGTCTTTTTTTCAGAAAAAGTAGAATTCTTTATCAAGATTCTGGAGCAAGAAGAGTCATCAGGATCGTTGCGAATCTTTCTGCCTCGAAAAGGAGGATCCAAGAAGGTGTTCTGGGTTAAGTACCGGCGAAGATTTCCACCATTTCTTGCCAATTTAGGAGAATGTTTTGCGCGATTTATGTTATAAATGGCGGCCATTGATAAAACAGCTCATTGTGGAGGAAACGTTGCATGATCCTTATACTCGAATTTTTCTTCGTGCTATGGTGTATTAACTGAAATTTACGCCATGAAAAATGTTTATAATTCTTCTTAATATGCAAAGAATAAATCGATTTTCAAGTCAGAAGAAACTTTTTAAATTAAAAATTCGTTTGAATAATTTTGTGCGTGTAACGATCTGGGGGAGGAAAAGAAAACGGTTTGTGCAATTTATTCATAAAATAAAATGGGGGAAAAAACTTTAAAATCCATTTGAATAATTTTGTGCAAGAAACGAGAAAACAATTTTTATCGATTAAAATTTTTACGATTCTTTTAATACTATCCATCAAGGAAAACAAATCACCGTTTAGACAAGAATATAACTTTTAATTTATAAAATCCATTTGTATAATTTCGTTTTGCAAGAAGCGAAAACGATGATAAATCGAGAAAAGAAAAAAACGATTTATCGATTAGAAATTTTTGTTAATATTATCTATAAAATGAATAAATTATTATTTGGCGTGAAATATTAAAATTTTAACTTTACGATTCACATTTGTATAATTTCGAACGAAAATCGATCTATGGAGAAAAGACAATTTTTTAAAAGTGATGTAACAACGGAGAGACGTATTCGAAGCATCCCCAAGGTTGTCTAAAAAGCGATCAAGCAGGGAAAGCGGGTCACGGAAGGCGGCGAAGAAAAGGGCGTCGAACGCGTATCCTGAAATTACGTTTCCAGCGATTTCTGTGACCCAGATCGAGCCAACACGCAGATTGCTCGCACGCAAACCGTCAACCTGGTTGTTCTACATTTTCAGTGACATCCTTTCTTTCCCTCGTTTCAAAAGAAATCCCTCGCTCTTTCTTCGTTGTGAAATCACGGGAAAAAGATCATCGTGAATTCCAATTCTTTAAAAAAAAAAAAAGAAGATACATTTACAATAAAATTTTTGATTTTGTTTTGTTATTATATATAAGAATTTTTAAAAATTACTTAGCGTCAAAGGATTGCAAGAGTTACAATAGAGATGATAATTCCAAAATTTTCCATCAAACAATCTTTAAATTTCTGAAGAAATTCTTCTCCTGTGAATCGTTTCACAATGAATTTATTTTTGGACATTTTAAGAGAACTAAAAGTTTAAAAATTTTCAAATTACTTATCTTCGTATCTCTTAAATTTTTAAGTCTAATTATGGATACTCGTGTGATTTGTACAAGAGTTGCAATCGATTCAAATCCAATTTCTCTAAAAAGTCCATTCTAATCCTTAAATCTCGCAGCTCAGAAGAAACTTGAAAGAAAACTGCCCCTTTGAATGATTCGACGACGAATTAGACCATCGAGAACTCGATAAAGAAGCACCAAGGAATTATTCCTCGCGAGAGAATATATCTCGAGGCAGAGATTTTTCAATCCGCTAATCTGTCTCCATTAAGAACTTCATCGATCTTTTATCTTTCCGCAGTCTCCCTTTGCTATCTTTTCATCTTTTAACCTACATCACATACAACTGTGAAGAAAAAAAAAAAGATAATGTATATATATGAAATATGTTAAAAAATAAAAGATTCTCGATATAATATTCGGAATCTAAAATATTCAGAATTTTCTTCTTTATCAATTAATATCAATTAACCTCTTACAATTTAATCGAAAGATGCTAGAATATCAATATTTAATTTCGATCAAAATTCCATATATATTCAGTCAATCAAGAATAAAATTCTAAAGAAATAAAAATATTTAGAATTGTTAATATTTTCGACAAGTACGATAAAATTTATGATAACTTACATATCACTAATTTCATATCAACAAAAATATTCTTAATTGAATTCACATCAGTAAAGTTGGTCATAGAAATATGATAAAAAATAATAAATTATTACGTTGTGAAGATTAAAGAAATATTCAAATAATGATGAAAATGAATTTTTATTTTGAATCGTCTCAATGTTCAATTTTCTTCTCTACATTCGAATTGAGGCAACGCTTCTTTTGATTTTTCATTAAGCGCGGACCATGGAGAATGTCCTTTTTGTTGCATTACACATTCGACCAATCAGAATTGTGTTTTAATCTCATTGGCTTGTCAATTTTATATATTTTTCATTGTTTTTACTAACAATATATATAATTTGCAATTAAATTTTATTCAGATCTTCAAACTTTATCAAAGACACGAAAAATATTGAAAATTGCGAATGATCTTAATATTATTTGTATATTCAAGTCAATTCGATCGTAGTATATCGCGAGAAACGCATAAATCGAATTTCAAACGTGTGGTGGGGATATTCGATATTTCCTCAAGGTAGGATTACAAGTATAATTTGTGTTTATCATCAGGAAAACTACTCACGCAAAGACGTTCCACGTATCAAAAGCGTAATATATATGAATTCGTATAAATTTCAACTACTGAGTCGATCATTCGTTGATCGTTCACTTTTGCCTACGATGAATAAATCTCTTTTTTTTGTTTCTTTCCTCCTTTTTCGAATTTAGTAGATTCGGTTTTTCAATTTTTGAAGTACATCATTAATTATTACTCTTATAAATTATATTTAATTAATAACTTGATATTCTATGGTAGGTATTACATGTATATTAGTTGATTATATTTTAAATTTTCAAAATGCATAAAATATATCCAATCAATAATATATTTGCTATTTTAGGTTAGGTATTATATATATTGTTATATTATTTATATTATTGTTTATATTATTATTATGTTTTATATAAATTAAATTTAATTTATTTTGGAACATTGAATCAACTTATAATATGTAATTTAAATTTATTATAAAAATATAATTAAAAATATAAAAATATAAAAATATAAAAATAATTGTAATATAAACTATAATAAAATTAAAAATTTTAATATAAATAATTATAAAAAAAAGTAAAAAAATTAAAACAAATTTGACTCCTTTGAATTTTACTATTAAGTATTTATTCAAGAATGATTTTAATATTTAGTAATATCAGGCTAATATTACATTTCGTTACAATAATTCTCTGATTGTGAGATTCCAAAGACTTAAAATTCATTTTAAATTCAAATCATATATAAAAATGCATAACTAAAATCTATTTTTTTATTCATAAAAAAATATATTTCAGCCTAGTTGAATAATTGACAAAATTGGATGACCCATAAAAGTAAACACCCCACTTCGATCGGATGAATCGTTAACCTGAATCACCCTCAAAGAGGAGCTACTCTACTTTGAAAATTTCAACTACTAATAACAACAACAACAACAACAACAACAACAACAACTGTACATGGTGTAGCTGGCTTGTAAAAGCGAATAGTCTGGTTATCGGTTAATTTATAGCTAGACGACCTATGTAGATGAGGGTGGCCTCGAATAAAGGGTCAGAAACATGGATGGTCGTCGATCGAGCGTCAGGTCGAGCACCAAGGGGGTAAGTTGTAACTTTCAAAGGACTCACCCTTCATGCCGAGTACTTGCACTTCTCCTCTAGTCGAGAGGACACTTTCCTGTATGTGGTTGGCCGCGAGGCGACGATATCGATACGCTTCGAGACGCGAGTCGAAAGTCTGGGTTCACTCGTAGGAATCTACTTCGATCAGGAATACACGCAGGAATATGGAACACACCCTGAAAACAAACACGATGAACATCAACATTATTGAGAAGGATACACAGATTGCATAGTTACTTGCTAACGATATATTGAAATTAATGGAAAAAATTTAATTGGAAGACCTTAGATCAAGAAATATTATTTGTTAGAAAATAATGATAAGATGATAAAAAAATATATTCAGAATTGTTGATATATTAAAGTATAGCAAAATTTTCAAAATTATGTGACATTTTAATATTATGGAATTATTTTAATCTGTATGCACTTTGATATTATATTATTGGATAGTTAAATTAACGCTTACAATGCTTATTACTTATAAGATATTTCATTTCAATACTTTTTTTTCTATATTTCTAGATACAGTTGATGCATCGAAAGAGAATACACATCATTCATCTTTTATCTGAAATATTTTTCACTATGAATAATACTATTAAGAAAACCAAGATGATCAAGATCACATCCAATGTATTTAATCTTTTGCACTATATAATCCTTTTTCTTAAGAACTCTAAGGAAAATAATATTGTAAGAGGATTAAGTTGAACGTATCCTTTAATTAAATTTAGACTTTCTTGTTCATTTTTCTAAATTTTGATGATAATGAAAACGATACTGATATTATATTTTTCATTGACTAATATTAATTTAAGAGAAGAGATATTTTTCCAATATATCATGCACCATCTAGTTTAATCCTTTACGAGGCTTTCCAAAGTAAATTCCACAAGGAATCACTATTCTCCAGGCGGTTAGAGCAATTTGCAACAACTCGAAAGCGTTTAGAATATGGTAGAAGTAAGGAGAAGAGAGGAGGAGAAAGACAAGCATAAATTGACGTTCGTCCTTACGATACATGCAATACTCGTAAAGACTCGATTCCTACGATCCTCGAGGTATACCCAATGACCCGATGGAATACATTATTCCTGAACGTTTCCGGCGTGGGACCGGAAGTCACCACCATTTGCACTCACGCCGCGCCTGTTTCACGGCTGATTTGTGGTTAACGGAAGTCTTCGTGATTCTCGAGAATATCGATTAACTTTATGCTATATATCATGGAATTGCTTTTTATTCATTTTATAAAAACTTTTATGTTATCTTAGAAACATTTGAAAATATTTAAAGTTTTCAATTCATGATTAACTTGTATTATTATTTAAACGTTTGTTCATTTTGGAAATTAATTTTCTTCTAATTTTGGATTCTTCCATTCAAATCGCATTTCATTCTATATATAAATATACATTAAGAATAAATTAGCGATTTCTTTTCGTAATTTATCGGAAATTAAGTTCCCATTACGTTCTTTTACGAATTCCCCCCGCGTTTTTTTTTGTTCGAGGCGAATCTTTTCCCTTTGAAATATACCTTTTTAAACGACAATAGTCACATATATATCGAGAATGGAAAAGAGAATGACTGGAAGAATCGAAATTAGGAAAGGAATGGAACATACGCGGAGACGGTCGTTAGACAACCATTTCAGTAACCATACCAACGGTAATGCCGAATCATTAGAAGGTTGGCAACAATGGCTCAAGGAGTGGGAGTAAGAGAAGCTTTTGTGCCGACGAACCGCTCGCGCCAAACAAATCAACGGAAATTGGGATTTCTTTGATGGGAATCGAGCTTGAGGATCGATGCCTACCGATCGTCATTACTGGAGAACGATTATCAACGAGGTGTCTGATAGCCAGACGCTTGATAAAAAACTTCTGTAAAATGGTATTCGAGTTGGTGTAAGTGAAAGAAAGCGAGATAGCGATTAAGCGAAATCGTGGTGGAAGAAGAGAGAAAGAGAGAGACTTCCATGTTGTTGAGCAAGGAAAGAACGTTGAGTGTTACGAATGAAATATAATTCCATCGACTTGGCTGTAAAACGTTGTCACTTTAAACCCGGAAAATTGTAACGCTCCGGGGAAATTAGATTACGAGTATAAAGGAAGGTAAGCTGGTAATTCGAAAAGAATATTTCACTTCGCGCATTCCAAGTGGAATTTTATGGAACAATATCTCGTATTCTAAATTGTTGCAGGTAATTTCTTTCAAGAAACGTTTAGGAAACGAAATCTACGTTTGAAATTTAAAGAATCTAAGAGGAAAGTGTAAATATAATACAATTGAAAAATGTACGCCTTGCAGTACATATCGCATATTTTTTTTTTTATCTCGTATCTGTTTTCGAGAAAGAACAGTTGTGATGGATAATTTCAAAAGATCATCGAACAAGCTTGAAAATCCATGGAAAGGAGCTTAAAAGTATCGATTTCCATGTAAGCGATTAACAGTCGCGACAACAACCGAGCACACGCAGAAGAGCTAAACGAATTCTGGCCGCGGGATTAAACCGGGCACAAACGCGGACACATTCAATTATCCGTTGTGCATCCGGATACAAGGCTGTGCTGGAGATACGAGAACTACCCCCTCCAATCCAGTTCTCGCGGCATGGCCGCTCGAAAAGCGTAAAGACTAAGCGGAAAAGCGAGTCGACGTTTCCCTGGAAATGTGCCGGCGTTATCGTTTCCGTCCTCATAACGTGCCACGGCGCCGCTTATCGCGCTTTATCAGCAACGATCCGTTGGAAAGCTACGCGAGCACTTTCCACCCTATCATCTCTCCCCTCCGTTCACTCACCCCCGTTTTCCCTTTCCTTTTATTTTCCATTTCCTCTCTCCTTTTTCCTTTTCCTCTTTTTCGATTCGTATTTCCGTTCCCTTCTTCCTTTAAATATCGTTTTTAATATTTGAAATATCATACAACACTTTTCTATGGGAATTTTTCCTTTGAGAATTTTGTTATTTAATCGACAGTGATTATTATTATAATTTAAATAGATGGAATTAAAATAACAATTGTGTAGTGATCGATTTTTAAATGATCATTCAAATAATAACCGTGACTAAGAGGTAGCTTGACAATATTTGTGATCAAATGAGAATCATAGTTCTTATGTTGCAAAGATTATATAATAAGATTGTAATAGTTAATGATTAATGATTTATTTATTATTACAAGTAAACATACAGGTTCGTTTCAAATATTACTATTGCAGTGGTACCTTTTCTGGAATGTTTATTTTTTTTAAAGTGTTTATGTTTGGGTAGATTATATCTTTGAAACTTTTACAATGAGACTTTGTATTTATAAATGTAGATACATTTTTGTTTTTAATAGGAAACGATAGGAATTTATCATGCATATTGTTTCTAGAGATATAATATTCATAAAATCTTGGTTATTGTAACATTTAATTTCCATTCCTTGATTCTTACGATATAAACATTCTACCTTATCGACAATACTCTACGCCAATCTTTACCATGCTATTCGGCTCTTTTCGACAATATTCGTTGAAACTCGGTCGACGATCAACTTTCAACTTAAAATCAGTTTTGTAGCCGCTTCAAGCGAGTAAGTACACTTCTTCTTTCTTCTTTTTTACGCGGAAAGAAAGAACTTTTTAAAACTCGATGCATACTAAGGTTATAGCGTTCAATATACAAAAAATATTCTGAACAGAACAACAAATATTTGTCTCAGTTTTTCGGAATAAATTGCAAGTACGATATCAAATTTGCCTTGCTTTAAAATAATTTACGACCCGCGTTCTTTAATCAGCGAACTCTGTCCAGGTATTTTTTTCTCTAAATCGCGTGCAAACGGAGCTTGGGCAATTTTCTTTGTCGTTTCGACCTCCTTTCTCGTTGTTTCACCCCTGTAGGGAAACAATACAGGGAGGGAGAATGACGTGGGTGGATTTAAAGGCGAATAGCGAAGAAATGGTTAGGACTACGCAAAAGAAATATGGCGAAAGGACAGAGAAGAAGGTAAAAAGTATGAGGCTTCGTAAAACTTTCCAAATCATTTTTTACATCGCTCGTTTTCGTTTCATCTCTCGAATCGTCTATTCGCTTCTTTTTTTTATTCCTCCTATTCTTTTTCATTCTTTCCTTTCCTTACTTTTGGTTTCCATGATATATATTTCAGAGAAAGAAACTATACTTTGGGAACGCTTGATAATCTCTGAGAATAATCTATCTTATATTTTATTTTTTATCGTTGGATTAATGATGGAACTATGGATGTTGTGAAATTGGATTAATTTGGATTTAAAACAAGCCAGAATTAGAATTTCTTGAATTTCTTGATGGATGGAAAAATAATGAAATTTGAACAAGATCATCTTTCATCCTCGGTTAAGATTGAAAATTCCATTGAGAAAAAAAATAAATTATACAAGATTTGCAAACGAATGGTTTCTCGTGGTAAGGTTTATGCTCGATAATCGAGTCCATTAAATTGCAGAAACTACTCAGGATTCGTCTATACGCCGACGACAGCAAGAAGTTGGCGAGGATTCGATTAAAATTCAAACAAAGAGACGAGTTCATCCTCGATTCAATTACAACTTTCTCCGAACGAAGATGTTGAAGAACACGTAAGAAATTTAAGAAAAAAAAATTTTATTCGAGTCTTGAAGATCTCCATAGAGTTCGATTAATATTCAGTTGACAGTGTAAACAAAGAGAAAATGACATGCAAGGAGAAAAACCTCGAAAATATTCGTTCAAAATTCGTTTCTCGACATTTCAAACTCAAAGATTTAATTGACTATTATTTAAAAATTAGAAATGCGTAATTGATTTTGTTAATATTTCAAAAATAAAATGGAGAAAATTTTGATAAACTCTAAGAAAATTAAAAAACACAATTCATTAAATTTTTTAATCTTTTAATCGAGAATGATAAATTTTTCATGATATTTTAAGATCTCTATTTAATAATATGCAAATTTATGTATTTATTTTATTGTGAATAAGATTACAGATGCCTATGTATAATAAAATTTTTATGAATACGAAAAAAGTTTAAATGGAAATTTGCTTTTTCAAATTCTATAGATTTTTATATATTTAAATTTTACATAAATAACAACAATCTAATTATAACACATTTGTCATGAAATGCAATGTTATTAATTGATTAATTCCCTATTTAAATGTTAATCATGATAAGCGCATGCGCATATAAAATAATAAAAAATCCTCATCGAATCTCTTCTCGCCGCCATATTCAACAGCAATCGATACTCGCTTCAACTTTATTACATTCCAATTACAAGTTTCGTCGAATCCAATTCTTGGTCACAATAACAAAGTCTCGATTGGTCTCGCCTCTGAACTTTCACGCAACTTGATACAACATCACAGATTTGTACTATTTCTCCATTAGCTTACGAACCAATTCACCAAAACCTAACCTAATTGTAGCATCAATAATCTTCCTTATCTAATAATTTAACCCGATAAAGGTGACTTGGAACTCGATATTCGTCGAACAATGGGCCAGTCTCGAGCGAAAGTCGATTAGACACGGTTGATGATACCGAGTTAATAGAATAGAAAAGCAAGAATCGAGGCTCGATAAACGCGGCCCAGTTTTCCACACCGATTATTCGCAGATAAACGATAATATCGTTTCTGCCTCGAAACTAGTTTAATTTCCGCCAATGATAAACTGGATACGCGGCTGGTATCAACCAACCTCGCATTGTCGGTTTCCAGGATAGATAAAGCGCAATCACGTGCACCGAAAATGCGCTCGACCGCACGAACGAGTTCCACTGGGGTTAGTAGAGAATTTGTTTGATTTGTTTCGTTGATCTAAAGTGGTTGACTTTGATGATGAAGCGAACCGTGAGTTTGTTAGTGACAGTGTCGTTACTATTTTGTTTTCGAATGATTTGTGATAAAGTGTGTGTTGGATACGCGTGTGAGAACAGATTTGGATGAAATTTATTTCAAATGATCATTTAAAAAAGAAAATTTTACACGAAGATTATTTAATAAATAATGTTTCAATTGAGGTTATGTTATTTTAATCGAAGGAATTTGAAATAATAGACAAACATTTTTATTATAAATTTAAAACATAACGTTTTGGAATATAATATGTTAAAAAATTCGTATACTGAACAATTATAAAATAAAAAAAAAACCATTTATCTCGAGGATACGGAATTTTTTAAAGAATAAATTAACATCCCATATTTCCACTCTAAATTAGGATCATAATCTCGAGAATCTCTCGCATGAGGCACAAAAACAATGAATAATTGAAGGCAACTAGTTGTACAACGAGAGAAAATAAAATACCTGATATAAAACAAAAGCGAAATTGCTTTTTGACAAATCCACATTGTACGAATAAGAGGAAAAAAAGGAAGGAGGGGGGGGAGAAAAGTAAAAGAAAAGAACCGAGAACACGTTCATAAAACGTCATCCGTGAGAGGCAAGGCAAAAGAAGAAGATAGAAACAAAAAGGAGGGCACTCGTGGCGACCACGAAAAACGAGGAACCACTTGTCAGCCCGGAAAACACGAACCTTCCCTATGACCGTCTCGGCCAACGAGGAGAAAATAGTTGAAAAAAGAGGTTGGAAAATGTGGAAAACGCGTGTTGAAGAATGGGACGTTTGTCCTCGAGGGAAGAGGAAAGGCTAAGAGCATCTTCGCAGGAATACAAAAGAGGATGATATTATTTTTTTGTAACCAAAGACAAGGAGGAACGAGAAACGAAGAAGAAACAAGAAGAAAGTAAAAGGAAAAGAAATAAGTAGAAAAAGAGAGAGAGAAAGGGAGAAAAAGATAAGAGGGGATTGGAAAGTCAAGATGGGAAGCAAGCCGCGTCAGCGCGCTTTTGTTAAAGAATAACTTTCCTCTCGTCGCGATTTTTGCACACGATCGTCCAACCAACAATGATTGATGCCCTGAGGAAAATGGAAAAAGGGAGTATCGAAGGAAAAACCGGATCGATTCGAGTCAAGCGATCTATTCTAAACTTCCTGTTTGCCGGTAAACAAAGATATATTTTAAAACGTCATGAGAAAAGTAATGCGGTGATTGAAAAATGAAAAGAATTCGAAATTGAATTCTAATTATTTGGAATTAATTTTCTGAGAGAATCAATAACTCGCAATTAATCAAAGAAATTGAATCACGCTCTCGAATAAATATTTAATTTTTGAGGTTAGAGGACAGAATGTTTTGGTAGAATTTTTGGTTTTGTAAAGGATTTATTTTTTCTCAGAGATAATGCTGAGGGATTCAAAGTAGCTTAATATAAGATTACATAAGAAGCATATTAATGTAAGTTTAGGTTTGTCTATGTAGATTTAGGTTTCTTGAAATGTAAAGGTAAGGTTAATTCTAGGTTTTTCAAGTTCTCTATCAACTTAATGCCCTTCGAGATTAACTTTTACGTTACTTAAATTTAAATCTGAGTTAATTTCAATTCAGAAATTTTCACATCCATATTAACTAGGATTTCTGGCTCTTACTCGTATTAATCTTTCTAATTACGTCATTCTCCATGTCAAATTCATATAAATTAAATTTAACGAAGCTCTCTGCATCATAGTGCCATCTATTTACATAGATTTAATCGAAATTATAATGTGCAGCTTCTTCCACGTTACAAGAACTATATTCGTCTTAGGCTCGAAACGTCCATCAGAAACTTTGATAACATGATAGAATCGAAAGAAAATTACGCCCTACTTTCTTCATCCTCGTTTCCTCTACGTATCGATCATCAACCGCTGCCACATAGAAACACATTTATCATTTCTCAATGACTTTTTTTCTTATAAAAAATCTCTCCTCCAACTTTCAAACTCAGGCGCTTTCTGCTAATTAGTCTCTCTAATGATTTATATATAGGTCCCTCAGAATCCTCTCCTCAAGTATCGACAAATTAAGAAGAAAAAAAATTTGGTAAATTTTTTTTCATCGAAGAATAACCGAAGATCGGTACAAATGGCAAGACACGTTCTTTAATGGATTAATCGAAAGCTATCTTCTCATTCCACTTGGAACTGCTTCAATTCCCTTGATCCGATACACGACGGTATCTCAGTTCACCTGCGACAGAAGGCGAGCAATTATTTCCACCAGAACTCAATTACGGATCACAGAAGAGATAGGCCGATCCTATCATCTTTCCGCGATAAGAATCAGCCACCTTTGTATCATCTGTCGAAAATCCATGATCCGAGACCCATGAGGTCTTTAATCCTCACCGATGAGCAGATTATTAAAATGCAGATCTTTCGATCGTTCATCTTTGTCAATGTTCTTTTTTCAATCGATCCGATTCTTATTGATTTTGAGTAGATTTTCTGATTGGTAATTTAATGTAAAGATAATGTTGGATCTCGTGATAGAAAGTTGGAATTCTGAGAAGAAAAAATTAAGTTATTTAAATGTTGCTTTAGAATTTTTTTGTAATAGATTTGTCACAATAAATTGACTTTTACTATTTGGAAAATTCATATACAGTAGAATTCTATTCATACAAATCTAAAGTATTTTGCTATTTTTAACTTTTTTGAAATAAGAGTGCAAATACAGATAAATGGATTTAATTCTACACTAATTTCTACATTCTATTTTATTTTTCATTCATTATATAATGTATTAATCTAATTTAAATAATAAGGATTTATCTAAAGTTCATTCAATCAAATCAAATTAATGAAAATTTCATTCCAATAAATGAAGTTTGGATAATTTAAATGATGTTAGAATTATTAATATATTTTAAATGACGGATTTTCATAAAATAAACATAAAAAAATTAAAGATAAATTCATAGTGTATTAAAATGACATTCATAGTGTATTAAAATTTAAAATTAAATGTTCCAAAAGTTCATATAAATGGAATTCTATTCTAATCAGTAAAATACATAAAGTATATATTGCAATGCATAAAAATTGAAACACTTACCTTTATTTTTATTTTATTTTTGAAATTCTATTCAATAAAATCTAATTCATACAAAAATCTAACTTAATAATCAAAATTAAATATTAGACTCATCAGAATGACAGCCAGAATTCCAAATCATTCATTCTATAAATGACGTAACCCCTACTCCCAATTACTCGTCTCTTTTCAACAGTCGCTCATTTCCGGTCGACGTTCATCCGTCGTGTTTTCGGTTCGTCGATCCCTTGGGAATGAGAGGATAGAGCCCCCTCGGGAATCAGATGGAATGGTTATCCCGATCGCAGAATCCGGTGGCGAGCCGTGATCCAACGTGGCGCAAAATGTACACACGCCAGGTTTACACGAACGCCGCCAGTGTCGAGTGCACAAGTATATCGATATATCGATATCGATCGCCCTCTGTCGAGCGATCGTCGAGGGAAATGAGTGTAGTATGTGTCGTTGGACAGGATATAGGTACATGCCGTTTCGAGCCGATCGATGATGTTTACGCGTGCAATAAATACCCAAGTGTCCTGTTTCGAGGTTTCTTCGTTAACTCATACGGCTGATGAAAATGACATGGTAAGCTCGATCGATCTTCCTATTTGCTATAATCAGGCGTTCGATTCTTTGGAGGTTAGGTATAATAGTCTCGATATGGTAGAGATGTTTGATGTGAAGAATGATGTTTGATCGGCTGATCGATATATTAATCAGTGTACTGATAGGAATTAGAAGCATATATTTATCTTCTATGTGCAATTTTGATCAATCATCAAATATCGTATTCTTTTTTCGAGAGCGATATAGCAAATAGTAAATTGAACTATTAGGAAGTCACATCTATTGGCTATCTATAATAAGTATGATCGCTGCATTTAGAGGAGCATTATTATATTTTCTTTTCAGTTTATTATCATAATACTATTTCTAATATTTTGTTATTTTATATTTTACTGATTTTGTGACTATAGCATAGTTTTATTGTTAACTATTATTATTTCGTTTCAGAAATCAATTTATCTTATCTTATCTAAGTCAAAAACAGGTTTAGCAAGTAAAAAATATCCATCAATTTTAACCTTTAATCGAATTTCGATCTATCTAATAACAATATAAAAAGATTTAAAATTCAAATTATTCCTAAGCTCAATAACTCGACCAAAATTCTTAAATCTAAATTATAAAATTAGAATTTCGACAAGAGTAATAAATACGCACACATACGGAAACATAAGTTATTCGCAGCGTTCTCTCATTACTATTCTCACCCTAATTCTCCTCGAGGCAGACACAATTTCCCAAGCAGCGGCCCTCCTAACGAGTTAATGTCGGCAAAACGGTATACGGTTTCATTAATTATCGCCACGGTAATGTCCTGCCCGTTTAGAAAGACCTTTTCATATCTAGGTTCCAGGAAACCCAGCTACCACTAATGGTCTGTCACTTCGTTCCTTTATTTCGCGCCATTTTGAAATATTATCATCGAATTCTGCTATCCATAAATCGAACGAACCTATGCGATAAAAGAGAGGCAAATAAGTATTTCCTTTTTGGCAAAGTTTGAGAAATTTTAAAATTAAAGATTCTTTTTTTTTTTTTTTTTTTTGATAGAATTTGGTCAAATTAAGATTAGAGCATTTCTGAATTTTCACAATCTTTTAGGTTAAGATTAATCGAATTATCTGGATTTGAAAGATTATAGAAAAATTATAAAAATATTAAGTACTTTTTTAATTTAAATTTATTTGAATAAAATTGATTATTTTTTTTTCAAATAGCCAGTAGCATATGAAGTTATGTTCATACAACCTGTTCAGCAAAGATTAGGTGTAATTGCAACTATTAATTTCAGAGTCAACGTATAATTTCTTGCTTCCCGTTAAATTGATTTATCAGAGTTTCGTCATTGTTAATTCATAGAAAACGCGGCAACCGTGACGCGCCAATTAATGAAGCATCCTATAAAGCTTCTGGAGGGCGGATCTATTTGTTTTGCACGGAATAATGTAACAAAGTCGATTAATATTGTAGGCAAAGCAGACTAATTATTCCATGTTCAATTAATTTCTCGCAAAATTTGTTACGATAAATGAACGAATCGTTATATAATATACAGAAATATATATAAATATATAAATTGATTTAAAAATATATTTTTATTCTCTATTTTCGAATCTAATAGTAAAAAATAAATAAATTAAAAAATAATTTAGATTTTTATTTATTTTATATTTTATTTTATATTTTAATTAGATTTTTATAATTATAAGATGTCACATTTTTTTATATCTAAAATATATTCAAAATCACAATTACATTTCAAATTTTGAAACTTTTCTATTCAGAATTAATCTAACACCGTTTTTATTCCTTTTTCAGGTACAATGACGTGATTCATTTTGGTATCTACATAGTATTAAAACCTGACACAAAGTTATGGAAAAAATAGCCGAACGACTAATTAAACCATACATAATATCCTTCACCTGGCCACGATAGGGAAAAGCGTAATTTTTCAAAGGAAAAAACAAAGGAAACGTAGGGAAAAGAGAGGAAGTGTCATTGAGAAAGTTGATTATGCCCCTAATAATTTGCGTCTCCACGACTAAAGAGAGGAACAAAGGAATTGCAGGGAAACAGGCGGTCCTTTTCGTTGCTCCTATGTTCCTTCTACAGGAAACACAGTCGCTCTGACGTTACATAATTTCCAATTAGTCGACTGGGAACAGGCGCCGCGGTAAGTAAATTCGTCGCTATAGAACAGAATATTTCTTTCACGAATCAAATTAACGCGACCTGTTTACTTGTCTCTGGATATGAATCAGGATTTGTTGCAGGAGGATACAGAATCTATGGAGTAAATGAAACGCGAAAGGAAAATGGATAATGATGTCTGCGTTAAACAGGAATTTTGAGTAATTTTGGAATTAGTAATGTATAAATATTCGAGCTTATGTAGTAGGTTTTTCTAATTATGGATAACAGTAAATTTTGAACTTTCCTAAGTCTAAATTCCAAAAGATTAAAAGATTTATTGCTTAAATCTAGATAACAAGAACTAAATTCTCTTCAGTCTAAGAATCTTTCTGAATGTAGAGTTTCCTAAATCTATAGCAAATCTAAGTTTCATTTATTCAATCTTTAAATAATAGTAAATCTAAGTTTCCATTACATTTATACTTTTTTTTAGTCTAAGGATCCTTTCTTTCTAGGATTCCCTAGATTTAAGTAATAGCAAACATTAATCTCAAATAATAGCAAAAGGTTTCCATTATACTTATATTTTTCTTCAAGTTAAAAATCTTTAATAAATCTAAATTTTCTTTAATCTAAGGATTTCTCTTGAATTTACTAGATATAAAATCTAGGTAGAGTCTTCATTAGTCTCAAATAAGTAATAGTAATAGTAGAGTAAAGTCTTTTCTTCTAACTTAATCCAAACTTTTCTTCAATTTAAGAATTTTTTTTAAATCTATTTTTGCTAACAAATCAAATTTTTCTTCAGTTTTAAATAACAATAAGTCTAAGCTTTTATTAAAATATTCATTATAAAAATAACCCCAGATTTTACTTTTCATTTATATTTTTCCTTTTTTGAAAATTTTTTTTAAATTGTAACTAATTGCAGTAAATTGTATTGTCAGGATTGAAATGTGAACATACATGTGTGTGTATTGTCGCTCTCTGTGTCAATCGACAAACAAAATAACCACGTCTCATGGCCGAAAGTGAGCGGAAACAGAATGGTTGCCACGAGTTGATCGGTGAAGTGTAACGCGGATCCATAAGTCATGAGATGAAGCACGTTCAAACGACCCTCGACAAACTGAACGAGCGTTGACACGATGTAAAAGACGCGAGAACACGAGTATTTACCCGTGTCCAACCTTTGCTCTTTTTCTAATTTCTTTTCTGTTTATTTCTTTGGAATTCTTGAATCATTTACTTACAAATCAATTATAGGTATATTTTTGATTTTTGAATTTTTTCTTTTTAATTTATATTAATTATTTAAAAAAATATTTTATTATATTTCAATTTGAAGTTTAATAACAATTTTTGTCATTTTTTTTTTAATTGTCTATCTTCTAGTTAAAATATTTTTTTCCTTTTTTTTATTTTATTAGAGAGATTTGTTATTCTCCTTTTACGTAATCAAATAGTCAGGAACAATCTCGCATTGCGACTTTTATTTCGTTCTCTATTACGCTATACGAGGAATTGAAAAAAAAGAAAAAATAAAACAAAACTGTTTCAATAGAAATTATGAAACACAAGGATGGTTAACGAATTGCAAATGAAGTAAGAAATAAAGAAAAAAATTTATTTATTAATTTATTTAAGAAACATATAATATACAATACTATATATATAATACAAAATAAAATCATTCTTCATCTTTAACTAATTATTATTCTTTTCTTTCATTTAAACAATCACGGATGATCCAAGAGTAAGGATTTCCTAGGACACGATGGAAATGTTTGCCGCCAATTTGATCAAGAACTGAATTCTGCATTACTTGCAAATGTCTATTGAATAAATTCAAGAGGATCGAAAAGGCTACTACCCTCTCGAGGCTTTGTTCCTTTATTTTTATTTTTATCTGCAAATCAAATTAACCGACCGCATAATGTTCATGGAAGAACCTTCATCCTTCCATTCTTTTATCCGCATTATTTTCTTCCTTCTCACAGAGTTTCCTTTCTTATGGGGTAGAAACCGTATCCTGTGATGTATGATGTCGGCAGATTCTATCTAACGATTCGGAACGACCGCATTGAACTTTGTAATCAGCTATTCCCGACTTCGTTAGAATACGTTTGCTTCGAATGGTATTCATATTGGTATTACGATTGGGCTATTCTTCAATGTTCTTTTCAAAGTTCCACCAACATTCATCTCTCTTAAGAATACTTAACTTTTATAGATGTTGGAACATTAAGTTCTATTACAAAATTCTCATTGCTAAAATAATTGTATTCTAGTATTAAAAGATTTTAACATTATAGAATTTGCAGAATTTTGATTTTCCAAATCTTATTGCTTGGAAATTTACTTCAAAATACAGAAAAGATCATTATATTCCTTAAGAATTTTTTTAAAATTAAATATTTTTATATTTATTCTATCACTGAAAATTAATTGTAAAAAATATACGTAATTATATTAAAAAATTCTACAATTATAAAGTTTATAGAATTTTGAGATCTTAAGATCTGAAAATTATTTAGAATTCCAAATGAAATTATTAGATTCCTCAAATATAAAGTTATATATAAAGTTTATTAATTATTTTTATATTTATTTTATCATTAAAATCATGAAAAAAATTTATAGAATTTCAACTTTTAAAATCTATTTAAAAATAAAAAAAGTCATTATGTTCCTTAAGAATTGTTTTAAAATTTAAAATTTTAGATGTACAATTTTAGATTTTTATTATTACAAAATTTCAGTAATTTAAATGAATATATCATCATAAGAACAATTTAAATCAATGTTAAATTATATACAAATTATATACAAGTATATAAATTTTAAGTATGAATTAAAATATTATATATCAACGTTGAAATATATTTATAGAAATTTACCCCTATATTTTAACATAGTTTTACAATCGTTTATATCAACTTTGATGTAGGTTCACAATAGTCTAAGCCAATGCTAATATATGTCGACGTTAACGAAGGTCCATAGTAGATTAAGTCAATGTTGACGTCGGTTCACAATAGTATAAGTCATCGCTTGACGTAGATTTGCATTAACCTAGATTGACTAATATAATTATATTAGCATATATTTACTATATCGTTCGAGTATTAAAACATTTGTTTAATTTTAAGTTATTTCTAATAAAATATTGAAACGAAATATCTGTGTAATTTAATTTGTATAATATAAAAAAATGAATGCTAAATGTCATTTTTAAATGATATTGTATATTAATATTGATTTGCAATTTTAAGACTTTGCAAGATTAACATAAATTCAGCTCACAATAATTTAGATCTATATTGACATAATATTTTTTTATGTTTTTTTATTTGTATATTAATTTTTATATTAATATTAATTTTCGATCGATGTTAATAAAAATTTGCAGGAAAATTTTATGTAAGATTGTATTAAGAATATATTAAATGAAAATTGATAATAATTTACATACATAACCGTAGATTTTCAGTAATTCCAACCAATTTCGTTCAACTTTTTTTTAAGAATAAAATTTATTTCTCATAACGTACTCAATAAAAAATTCTTGCTTTACGCGAAGAATATTATTGATTCAAATAACATATTATTGAAACAATGAGGGAGGAATGAGGAGGAATAAGTAATAAAGTTGAAATCGTTCAACCAGTTTGGTGCACATGCATAAATAGTGGGATTAAAGCGACAGCGAGTTGTCGTACGATATTTTACCGCGTAAACCGCGTACGCCTCTGACGAATCGCGAGCATTATCGGTAATTGCAAACGCGATCAACCTAGTCACTAGCACGCAGAATATTATCGATAATCTTTCCACCCGTATTTTCCATGCATAATGTCCGCCATTACGTGATAAAATATTTAGCAAATTTATTTTGTTATTAAAAGGAAATAAAATGAAAATTTTTGAGTTGGAACAAAAATATCGAAATTATTGAAAATATCGATTATTCTGTTATTCTGTTATTTCTAATATAATCGATCGTAGATGTGAAACGCCCTCTATTCCTTGATTTCAATATCATATTTTGGTTAAGAATTTAGGTCGATATTACGTGTAATACGCAGTATGTAGATCAAAATTTAATACGAGAGAATTATATACATCTGAAACATAGTTGAGAAATTTGCAGATGTATATCAAATTCTGGATTCTAGCAGATATTATAGAGGTAACCTAGCATGTCACTAATGCTTATAATTTAGATATTCCCCGTATGTGTAGCCTAAATATCCTAGATTTGCAGCTGTCAAAGATTTCTGAAGAAACTTCTTTGCATTTCTTCATTAATTAAAAAATGAAATATATTATTTCTAAAATCATAGATATGTTCACATAATGATTTTTATTAAGAATGAATATACATCAAATAAAAATATGTATTTACATTGCAATAATATGCAATGTAATATTAGTTTATTAATAATTTTTCTATGGATTGATGTAGAGGTTAAGTAAAAATCAATTTTAATTTTTTTAAATGGATCTATATAATTTTCATTGTATTAATCAGATTTATTATTTACACAAAATTAAACTATTTATATCAAAAAATTTTTATTTTAGAAGATTGTAATTCATAAAAAAGATTAAAATTCATAAAAAAGACGAATATGAATAGCAGAATATTCGCATGTTTCTTATATGATACAATTTTTTAAATTAAAGATTTTTTGACATAAATAGCTTTTTTTCTAGAAAAGAATTTTTTTCTAAGAAATAATTTTTTATATCAAACAAACGTGTTTTGTTTGAAACATTTTTTTATATTTTTCGATATTTTACTGTTCAGAGATGAGCACACTATATATTAAATAGTAAACATATGTAATATTATAGGAAGAAAATACGCATGATTTTGCTACGAAAGCAAGTCAATTGGATTTCACATATTGGTGCGTGGTATGAATATTTAACTTGTATTCCTGGAATCGATTAAGCGGAGCCGATACCCAGGGATTTCGTCAATTATAATGACAGGTTTATATCGTGTATCGTATAAAATATACGATCGAATTCATACGTTAATATGATTCGTGGAATATAATTTTCATTAATATAGATCAAGTGGCTGGAAATACACGTGATGGAAAATACTCGACAAGCCTAGCCATGTTCACAGGCCGTGTCCAGAGTGCACAATAGGCCGAAACGTCGTTCCAGTGATTAACCGTGCACTATGTCGCCAACGAATTTGCGAATCGAATTTATCGGATTCGAAGATACAACAATGAATCCTATTTTACCACGACCACTAATTCGATCGATTGCTTCATCCTCGATTGTTTGCCGATCTTCGATCTGTCTGCGTATACAATGTATCTACATTATATTATTACTCGTCAATATAGAGAGTACAGGAAGACATTGGCCTGAATAGAGGTAAGTGCAGATTTGAGGGTAATCCAGGTGTAGATTAGACTAAGCTTGAGCCGGTTTTAACTTGGAAGATGGTGGATACGGATTAACCTAGACCTAGGTTACCTTGGAGATGAGTAAGCTATGGTTTGAATCTGTGTGCTACCCTGAGTAATCATAGTTCTATTGAATTCTCATTCGGTCTACTGTAAACATAGACTATTGTAAATACTAAGTTAAGCCTACGTTTGCATTGACTTAAATTACTAAAACTGCATGCCAAGATAGATCTTCTAAAAAGTTGATCTATTTACTAGGTCTCTGATAATTTATCGTATATATGTTACATATCTCTTTATTTAAAGGTGTCCTAGCGTTGATCTAAAAGTTGAATACTACTATACTGTATTACTTTGTATCAACTTAAATCTTGTAAAAAATTGGTCTATTAAACTATTGTAAATATTGCTTAACATAGACTTATATATTAATATGAATTTAGAATATAATAATATAAATATTGCTTAACATAGACTTATATATTAATATGAATTTAGAATTTATTGAAATTTTACTTTATTAAACTAAATTAACATTATTACAATTCTGAGTTAAAAATCCTTAATCTCAATCAGAAGTTTCAGTGAACCAGATATTAATGTTAAGCCTAGGTTAGAAAATATTTAATTCAAGATATATCTTTATTGATATAATATTATTTCAACGTAGATCTTTTGAAAACTCAGATTACTTATTGGATTTCTAATAATTCATTCTATAATTAACTTAAATTAAATTACGAATAACGTAAGACCGTGCTAGAGTTAATCTTGACTACTAAAATCAAGATCTTCTATGAAATTAATCCAAACTATCGCGAATTCATGGTACCATTGGTAACTATTGCGTATTCTCGTCAACGTAGAATTTTACGCTAATATACTTTTGTCAACGTTGACCTACTCTACTGCGAAGTTTCACGAAAGTTCCTACGTTAGCATTGACCTACACCACACTGTACACACGTTCATTAACGTTTTCCCCAATCCAATCTACGTCAACCTAAATGTAATTTGAAATTAATCCACGTTAATCCAGTCCTAACGCAACATAAATTAGTAAGCATTCATGAAACCTCGAAACCTAACCTATACTATAATCCGCTCGCTGTAATGCACAAGTTTGAAAAGCATAAGTTTACGAAAATTTCAATGGTATGAAAAATTATATAAAATTAAAATCTGAACAAATCATTTTATATGGACATTTTTCATTTTTGATCACATCGGATTATAAATTATTTATTTAATCCTATTTTATTCCATTTATTTTAATCTTGTTTTTAACAAAATTATTAATAAATCAATAAACGAGTAAATTATGAATATCCTCGAGCACCAGGTGATCTTTTTACGGAATTACCAAAGCTGAAAATAAATTTTTCAAAGTTTCTATGACTTTATGAACGTTTTCGCTCGACAATTAAACTCGTTTACGAGAAAATCGTGGAATATATCTTCTGTTTTTTTCTACACATTATATACTTATTCATCTTCTCCAGTTTGTTCTAGTCTTTTTTTTATTCAAATTTCAAGAGATTTGCATAATCTCTGGCGCAAAACATCCTTCATTTTCATACACTCTTAATTTATTAAATCTTATTTTCACTCTCTAAGAGTATTAAAAAATTTCCAACCAGAGGAAAATATTGCAATTAGTGACTAGAGTAACTTAAGAAAAAAAAAAAAACTATTTTTATATTTGAAAGAAACAAAGAAGAAGGAAAATTGCCAAGTTTGGTATTTGAAGCACGTTCGAGAGATCCATTCCTCCATTCCATCTCCATTATTTCACCGTGGTTTTTCTCAAAAAACGGTTTCCAATGGATCAAAGACACGAAAGAGACGAAAAAACGGCCGGATTGAAAAGCGACTTGGACAACGGAGGCTTAATAAAGGCGGTGCTGATCGGGAAAACACAAGAGTAAAAGGGAAATACGCGAGAAGAGCTGTGCAAGAGAGGAAATCTCCCTTTCTCTGCATCGATCCGTTCGCTAA